GGGAGATCCTCCTTTATATTTTTGCTTGCGCAAGTGTTAATATTTGTGTGTTATTTTCATTATTAGCCCGGACTTACCATCAGTCACAATGCTGACAAAACACTCAATAGTTTCTGCCAATGGCAGGCTGTGATTGGTGGGAAGCGACATCGACAGCATGACCATGCCATACTCCTGACAGGACTGGACATCTGTGCTCTTCGAAACGCTCCCTGTAATACACTAGGTAAGAAATCAGGCCCAATCATTCTTTAAAATAAAAAAAACATATGCAAAATGTAATAATTGAAGCTGATCTGTGATATTTTTTATTTTTTTCTATAAAATTATTAGCAAGATACATAGATTTTAATTGCTGATGTCAAAAGAAAAAAAATAAGGGCAACAATCAAAAGTCCACAATGCATTTGGAATAACCAACTAAGATTTTTGAGGTCACAGTACATAGGTCATAGGTTAATGTTTTACATTTATCCAGGTCATACCATTCTGAACTATGGGTGAAGGTCCCAACTAGAGGTCAAACATCCAATGACCCTTTGTGTGTTTGGACATGACTTCTTATCTATTGTTCAGAACATTGTAGGTCATAGGTCAAAGGTCAATTTTATTTAACAATAATACAATGATAAAGACTTGTGTCAATGTTTCACACTAACTGTGTAATGCCTCTCCTTTTAGAAGCCTAGTTCTGAGTTCAAGGTCACAATAACAGGTCAAAGTTCAAATACGAATCTGTATAAGTTATATATATACACAGCTCTAAAATAAAATGTAAAAAAAATAAAGGCAACATTGTATAAGTATTAGGTTTGACAACTGCACGCTTCTTGAACTTCAGGATTTGCACCTGTGAAGGGGATGTGTAACAGGTTGAGGAGCTGTAGTGTTACGGAGGATTCCGGACTGGCAACAGCGTTCACCATCGCTCATGAAATCGGACACAAGTAAGTCCAGAGTTCCCTCCATTTAATATATATTACTGTAGTAAAACATTGCTATGACAAACTGCAGGTGGAATGTTTTCACTGTAGGAACCTACCATTATTTTGCATATATGTTATCCAATGTATATTAGTTTTAGGTTCTGTAAATTTTTCTTGATGCAAGGTAAAAATGGAGGCATCTGTGAATCCCCGTGAAATAATGAAAAATCAGAACTCCTTGGAACTTGTTTCTTTTTAACCAAAATGTGAGATATTAGTCAGAAAATAACTATTTCCATTTCACCTACTTAACTTCTTTTATGAGGTCATATTCACCCCCAATACATAAAGATGTCATTTCTTGAGGAAGAATAATAAGTTAAAACAGATGATGTTATTTTTGCACCTGTTTAATGCTAATCTCTTTGTTGTAGTTTTGGGATGCTACACGACGGTACGGACAATATGTGTCGGCCGCACACTGGAACGATTATGTCTCCCACACTCAGCTCCAAGAGTGGCATATTTAAATGGTCCCAATGCAGTCGTAACTACCTCCATAGGTTCTTCAAGTAAGTTCCTACAAAATACACTGAAAAAATATGCATGTTCAATTCTATGCCATATGAAACAGATGTTTCAAATGAAATAAATATACTCATTGTTCAAGCAGATGTTTTTAGCTCACCTGGTCCAAAGTCAAGGCTAAATGAGATGAGACTTGGGTTTGAATACATGGAACATATTCTCGAAGGAAGTTCTGTATTAATTTGTCTTTCAGTTCAGTAAACTTTGAACAATGGGGCCTAGATGTTGTTAGCACACTTATTTGGAGGAATGAGCCAAATAAATATTTCATAACCTTAAGTATGTTTCTCAGGTGACAATAAAGTCAGGTGTCCTTAAAGTCAGGTGACAGTATAGCCAGCTGACAGAGAAGTCAGGTGTCAGTAAAATGTAATGTTGGTAAAACCAGGTGTCTGTAAAGTCAGGTGTCAATAAAGTCAGGTGACAGAAAACTTAGGTGTTGCTGTATGTGATATCGTTTAAATGTTGATTTTACCTCGTGTTGAAACATACATTACAGTACAATCCAGTCAAGTTGTTTAGTCGACGAACCACAGGCGGTGGCTGAGTTAAAGTTCCCGGATAAACTACCAGGAGAAATCTTCAACGCAGATACCCAGTGTCAGTGGCAATTCGGAAAGCATGCAAGTCTCTGCATCTTT